AACTCTGGGCTAAAGTTGGAGATCGGCGATCTGCTTCTTCGGCCTGAAACCGGCCATGTGCAGTTGCTTCAGGGGATATATATCTTCACGGGATACTCATTTTTGGGAGCAGCTGTCACTGTGCCAGGAATCCGGGATCGCCCCAATAACTGGCCAGGACCTTCACAGAGCCCAGAAGCACTGCTGGCATCCTGCTCCTGCACCCCCTGTGGTGGTGTCACCCGGTGCGGCCCGCACCCCCATAAGGTTGCCACTAAGAAAGCTAATACCCCTTTCACTCTGAACGGCTGAGGTTTCCCTGCAGCAAGGGTGCAGTTATTTGTACCTATGGTTTTCATGCAGGTTATTTGCACTGTGCCATAGGCTTCCATTACATTGGGCGGTTTTGGTGTGTTTTCTGAAAGCACAACAAAAATCCTGCATTCTCATATGTAATTCCTCATATATAATGTATTATTTTGTTATAACTTTGATAATATTAATAGTGGAAATCTGAATATTAACAGCTATAATAATATACATAATGCTCAAAGAAGCAAAGGTCTTTTTTAAAAGTAAAACACTAATTACATAGAAATCTAAAGGAAAATTAACAGATGTAAATCCATTCCATATTGTTACTGGGTTTCAAAGAAGTCAAAATGGTCTGACTCTGCATTTTATAACACACACAAGCACCACTCAAAATTGACCCCCCGCCACCCCCACTTGCCCTCTGTCCAATCAGTAAATATCTAAATATCAGGGACTATGCAGCTATACTTAATTACCTCCTGCAGATGGCATTGTCCCACTGCAGGCAAGTTCCTTGACCCAGGTCAGCATTTGGGCCGCAGCTTGCCCTTTGATTTCTCAATGATAAACACCTAATCAGGAATTCTCATCATTACCTTAGGCTCCATTCACACTTGTGCAACTTGTCATATGAACTTTGGACACTAAAGTTGCATGACAAGTCTTGCCCCATGTTTTTCAATGAGAACCATTCAAATATGTACGACTTAAAGTTTCAGTGACTTCAAAGTAGTTCATGCACTACTTTGGAACGACTTTCATGCAACTTGAGTGCCATAGACTGCAATTTAAACTCTCAAAGCTCATATGAAAGTTGCACCTGAATGTTGTACATGCAACAGTTGTTTATTATAATTAATGAAATCCAAAGTCGTATCCAAGTTGCACCCACCCAAAGTTACATCAAAGTTGCGTCAAAATTGTGTTCCAAAGTTGTATGACTTTTTAGTCATACAAAAGTGAATGGAACCTTAACAGGAGGTCCGAGGGTTGCTTTCTATCCTTATAACTCACCATTGGGGTATGTGAGAACCTTCTCCAAGGTGATGAATCCTTATTTGCAACCTCCTGTTATAAACACCCTACTGTGTAAGCCTGCATCACTGTTTTTTAACATGGTCTTTAGCAGTGACCATGTGGTTTTGGAATATATGACATGAAAAAATGTTGAATCCAACATAACCTGTGTACAATTAAAAATATATTTTATATAGAAACTTTAATGAAGTAACCTTAACCAACTGTGGAGCATGGGATTGCTACACATGGCCAAGAAAAAAAATAATGTAAATCTATGGTCCCAGCATACTCTTTCATTGTATAAAATCAGCTTTGTAAGAACAATACAAACAATAGTTATTTTTTACAATCCAATCTAAGTTTACTCGAAAATATCTCCTTTCATGTTAATAGTGCTGCCTGTCTGCTGGTCTTCTCTTTCCACAACTTCTTGGATTCCCTGCATGCTTTGCAGTTTCTCCTTTGTTGCTTGCTGACTGTTCCTCCTGAAACTCCTTCTTTCAGCACCTCTGTAGATCAGAAGGCAGGCTCTGTGAAATGTGTCACACAACAGTGCCTACTCATAGGGCATAGTGAATATATGTCCCAGACCTCAAGAAAGTAAATGTGTGGGGAACTTCACAAAGTAAGTTTATAGACTTCATGATCATTCCGATTAACTGCATCCCATCCGCCCTATAGCAGAAATACTGCTACAGGGCGGCACAGGTGCGCAAAATCGTGTGTATATATACGTGATTTTGCATTACCAGGTAGGGATTACTCACCGGCGCCCGGTGATTGCCGAGGATCTCCGATGGGAGGAGAACTGTTTGGAAACAAAGCGGTTCTCCCTGTCAGCACAGCCATACAAAGCAGTGTGTTTACAGTGAAACATAAACACAGCCCAGATAGTAAAACACTCCCAGCAAGCAGTTAATCTTTCGATCTCCCCTCATGTTAACCCCTTCCTGCCCAGTGCCAATAGTAGAGTGTCAGTGTTTTTTTTCTAGCACTGATCACTGTGTTGGTGTCACTGGGGATGTCAGTGACACCAAGTCAGTTCCCTCCAGTGTCAGAATGCCCGCCGCAGTCCCGCTAGAAGTCACTGATCGTCACCAATACTAGTAAAAATAAAATAAAAAATTCCAGTATATATATATCGCCATTTGTAGACGCTATAACTTTCATGTAAACCAATTAATTTACACGTATTGGGATGTTTTTTTTAGCAAAGACATGTAGCAGGATACATTTTGGCCTTAATTTATGATGAAATTTGATATTTAAAATGTTTTTACTGGACATGTTTAATAACAAAAAGTCAAAAATATTGCTTTTAGCGCAAAAAATAAAAAAACGCACAGGTGATCAAATACCACCAAAAGAAAGCTCAATTAGTGGGCAAAAAAGGACGTAAATTTCATTTGGGTGCAGCGTTGCACGACCACGCAATTGTCAGTTAAAGTAATGCATCGCCATAATGCAAAAAATGGCCTGGTCAGGAAGGGGGATAAATCCTCAGGAAGGCAAGTGGTTAATAGCAGTAGGCTAGAAATAATCAAAATATGTAAACAAATAAATTATTATTTAGATTCTGACAATAGATATGCTTTAACTGATGTGCACAAGGCATTTGTAGCATATCTTGCCATGCCCTTCTGCCCTGCTGATGATCTCCATCTTGAATTGCTAATAAATTCCCTACTGTCAAAATCACATTTGGGAGCTGCTATGTAAATACATGCATTACTGTATACATTGAAAGGGTATTTACTGAAGAGATAAAACTATACTTCTACCATTTTATAAAACTCTGGTTTTGCCAAATCTTGAGTATGCTGTCCAGTTCTGGTCACCAGTCCTCAGGCAGAATATGCTGGAACTGAAGAGAGTCCAGAGAAGAACAACAAAGCTAATGAGACAACTTGAGGGCAATAGTTATGAACAAGTACAATCATTAAACTTTTTCTCCCTGGAGAAGAGACTCATAAAGTGATACAAAAGGCCTAAATTAAATTAAATAAAAAAACATGCTGTACTTACCTGCTCTGTGTAATGATTTTGCACAGAGCAGCTCCAATCCTCTTCTCGAGTCCCCAGCCTACACTCTGGGCTCCAAAATACACACAGAATGGGGCTCAGCTCCATCCCTGATTCCTCCTCATTGGCTGTGATTGACAGCAATGGGAGCCAATGGCTCCCACTGCTGTTTCTGAGCCAATGAGGAGGCAGATAGCCGGGACAGGTGCCGCTCTCCTGCAAAATGCTGGATCGAGATCAGGCTCGGGCAAGCATTTGGGGGCTCAAGGGGGAGCTGCATACTAAAGGTTTTTTTACCTTCATGCATAGAATGTATGCAGGTAAAAAATCTTCAGTCTTTACAACTACTTTAAGAGGAGATAATATTGCAATATACATGTAACGCCCTCTTGTGTACATAGTTTTTTAAGTGCAGAGGCTTAGAGGCTTGCTATAAGCCTGGGTGTGAATCAGCAAGTTTTGTTTAGGTCAGGGTAGAGGGCTCCACAGGTCAGGCCTCTGGTATCTCCTCCTGGTTCTAGAAGCTTGGAGAAGTTTCTAGAAGCTAGTGGGTGGAGGCCAGAAAGTGCTGATCTGCATATTCATGAGAGCTTGACCGATCTCAGGCAGAAGGCCAGGCAGTGTGGCAGATAAGCCCATAAATATGAGAAAGGCTGGCCAGCAAGGAGAGATGGGTGGAAGGTGCAGTGCTGAGGTTTGCTGCTGAGTAGCCTGGGAGGGGACTCCAGAGAAGGCAGGGTTCTGCCTCCAGACTGGAGATTGAAAAGATGGGAGAAGAAAGCTAACAGAGGAAGATCCACTGCCCTGCAGTCCACTATGGAAGAACAGCCTGTTATGCTGAAAGGAAACCAATCCAGCAAAAAGCCTGAAAGCAGTTTATCCAAAGCTACAGAACACAAGGTCAGTGTGAGTACCTCTGCACCAGGTCCAACAGGAGAGAGGGCTGCTAGGTGATATACCCAGTCAGTTCTCCCTGGGGCAGTTTGTTCTAGAATCTCTTGCTCCGGGATACTCTTCAAAGACAGCCAGGTGAATGGGTAGTTTCTAGCTGGGGTCTGAAGAGGTTCATTTAGAGGGGACTAAGTGCTCCTCACACAGACTTTGTTACTGATCCGTCAAGATACCGATGCCACTCCGGAGGGAGTAGAAAATCCAGGATCCTACATCTATGTATAGAATTTAGAAAGTTTGTCCTCAAAGTATTAATTTCAAGTCAAGTTGGGCATTCCATATACCCCTAGCCCTTATCCAAGTTATTTACCCCTAAATAAAACAACAAAAACAAGCCCATGGATGGGTTTCTGACTGCAGGAAAGTTGAAAAATGTGTGTTGCCTGGCCGTACAGGAAAATCGGGGTACCCAAAACCAGCAGCTCTCAAGGGGGTAGCGCTACAAACAAATATCTAAATGATGATTCTAGCATAGGGAGAAAACTATTCAGTCTCAGGTTACTTAAAAAGATACAAGGCCACTCACTGAAGTTGGATGAGAAGCAGTTTAACAACCTACCACCCGCCATATAAGGAAACGACAGGTGCAAGGCGGTTCTCTCGCTCTGGAAGGATGTCATATGACATCCTCCCACTCTAACCGCACGTGCGCGCCCCCGGGGGCACGTAGCATGGCGATCGGTGTTGCACTGTGTCCCTGGGATACAGCGGATCACCGATCAGTGGAAAGAGTCGAAGAGGTCAGCTCTGTCATGTGATTAGCTGTGTCCAATCACAGCTGATCGCATGTAAATAAGGAAATGCCGGTTATCGGCATTTCTCTCCTACGAGCTGTCATGCTGACAGCTCGTGAGGAGAGGAGAACCGGTAATTGGCATTACTCAGAGGGGACATGTACACTGATCATCAGGGCACTGATGATCAGTGTAGCCCCAGCAGAGCAGACGTCCAGTGCCCATCAATGCCACCTGCCAGTGCCCATCAATGATACCTGCCAGTGCCCATCAGTGCCACATCAATGTCAAATATCAGTGCCTACCAGTGCACATCAATGCCACATATTAGTGCCCATCTGAACTGCCTTTCAGTTCCACCTATCAGTGCCAGTCAGTGCCACCTATTAATGCCAGTCAGTGCCGTCTATCAGTGCTGCCAATCAGTGCCACCTATCGGTGCCCGTCAGTGCTGCCTACCAGTGCCAGTCAGTGCCACCTAATAGTGCCAGTCAGTGCCGCCTATCAGTGCCATATATGAGTGCTACCTTTCAGTGCCCATCAGTAATGCCTGTCAATGCCCATCAGTGGCACCCACCAGTGCCTCCTCATCAGTGCCCATCAGTGCCGCCTATCAGTGCCCATCAGTGCAGCCTATTAGTGCCCATCACTGCAGCCTCATTAGCGCACATCAGTGAAGGAGAAAAATCACTTATGTACAAAATTTTATTACAGAAACTAAAAAAAAACTTTTTTTTTCAAAGTTTTCAGTTGTTTTTGGTTTGATTAGCAAAAAATAAAAAACCCAGAGATGATTAAATACCACCAAAAGAAAGCTCTATCTGTCTCAAAAAATTTTTAAAAATGTAATATGGGTACAGTGTTGCATGGCCGTGCAATTGCCATTCAAAGTGCGACAGCGCTGAAAGCTGAAAATTGGCCTGGGCAGGAAGGGGGTCTAAGTGCCCTGAAGGCAAGTGGTTAATCTTAAACTGCATAGGGAGTTCTTTACTGTTAGAAAGGGGTCTGCCGTGGCTTAAAACTTTGGTTTTTATGGTTATCATTGCACATTTTCATATCATCATTGCAAAATTACTTAATTAAAACTTTGAAGTCAACAGGCTGAATGCTGGATCTTTCTCTTTTTTTCAGTTAGACCAACCTGAAAAGTTAAAAATCATCCCTAATTAATTTTTCTTTCCCTTCTTCCCTTTTTTTTTAAGTTTATTTATATTTCTCTAACTTTTTTTAATCATGTTGTACATTATAAACAGAGAAAATCAGCGAGCGCTTACAAAACAGCAACTGATTGCACCGAGAAAAAAGGAACTACAAATCCTCTCAATAAAACCAAATAAATCAAGAAAAGGTGCAGCGCATAAAAAATAAACAATATCGTATCTCAAAATTATTATAAAATAATGATCCTTATTAACAACTAAGATTACTTAAAGTGCAATAGAATAAACCAAAGAACAAATATAAGTCCCATTAATTGCTCTATGGTGTGATGGTGCTATTCAAGGTGAACTCCTAGCAATGAACATGTGAATATTCTGGGGATCAGGAGTATATCATAAAAGTAGTTAAAACGTAGTTGCGATAATACGGTGGTGTGCGATAAATCGGTGGGATTGCAAACTCACAGAAGCGCAATCTTAATGCGCATTGGTCATAAACATCAGCCTGAGGATCTCCCCTCTCTGGAGTATGGTCTGGTCTGAGATTCTCTCCCTCTGATGATATGGGCATTTATTGATGTCAGTCAGAGGTCCCCTTGGACCTATGGGCTGTGTAATATGGTCTGGTCACAGGAAAACAATCCTTCCTCTGGGCTGGATACAAACACCTGGGTCCTGAGGGTTTAAGTGCTCATGGTGGAGCAAAAAATATATAGAATCCCATAGTGTAGTAAGCTTGTAATTTATTGGAAAATTATTCAAGGGTAAAATAATGGTGTACACACATAAAAAATCATCCAGGTGAAATCTGGCAAGTAGCTTAAATAATGGAGGTAGCAATATGGCTCTATAGGTAACAAGGCAATATGTAGAATGTGCTGCCAATGTTACTAACCAGTCAGCATGTAAAGATGGCCGCCGGATCTCTGTGATCCGGAGGCGTGACGTCACTGGGTAGCGAGGCTCCTCCTTGACGTGTTTTGTATAATAATACGTTTTTAAAAGGGGTGAACACCCCTTTTGAAAAAGTATGATTATACGAAATGCGTCAAGGAGGAGCCTCGCTACGCAGGAAGGGCACCTCTGATTGACATCAATAAACGCCCATATCATCAGTGGGAGAGAATCTCAGACCAGACCATACTCCAGAGAGGGGAGATCCTCAGGCTGATGTTTATGACTAGTGCGCATTAAGATTGCGCTTCTGGTGAGTTTGCAATCCCACCGATTTATCGCACACCACCGGATTATACCTACTTTTCACCCTATGATATACTCCTGATCCCAAGAATATTCGGCTTTGTACTTCTTTAGCTAACTGCAGTAAACTTGCATGCCAATTTTCTTCAACCCTTCTCATCAGAAGACGCTCCTACTGAGGTGTTAACTTCCGTCAACGGCCTGGACATCTCTGGTGAGATGGTTGGAGTTCCATCTTTGTTACATTTTTGTATTACTGTTGCTATAGTTTTCTGACTGAAAAGTAACGCTTTGCTGATCTTCTTGTAGCCTTCACCTGTCTTGTGTAAAAAAATAATTTTCTTTCTCAGGCCTTGTGACATTTCTTTTCCATGTGGTGCCATTGCTGACAGCATGAAATGGGACAGGGTTTTCTTTGTTCAGTAACGCCATTTTATAATCAGCTGTCTGCTGGACAGCTGTTTGATAAATAATTAGACTCACCTGTAGTTGAATTCCTGTTAATTAAGTTTTTGTTGTCTAAAATTTAGCTTTGCTCTGAAGACTTTCATTGGGGAGTATACTTTTTGTGTGTGCAAATTAAGAAATCTTGTATGCAATCAATGGCCCGCATTTATGGGAGTATTTTGTAGTATAGTGTCCCATAGAAAATGTTGATTCTAAAAGGAAAGTAAAGAGATCCTCCACTCCATCTGCACACACAGCTTCTTACCACATAGCCATGACTAAAAGTTTCTAACCAACAAGATGGCCACAATCACGTAATGGGCCGTGGCCATTTTGTTGGTTTGAAAGTTTTCCTCTATATACAATATGCTGATTTTTATCTGACATATGTGCATTACCTTTAAATAAATGTGAGAACCACTATTTACTACACTATGAGATGTTTTTGTTTCCTCTCTGGTTTACATATTTTCTATCTTAGTGGCGCAGTCCTTGGTCCTGGAAAAGTTTTGTTACATATATGTATCAGTAGAGTGGGACCTTGGCCATCATATCATGATATCTGAATGTGTTTCTGTCTACTTGGCTTTGATGGTCATGGATATGCGATAAGAGGCTGTGATGGTGGAGGATCTCTTTTCTGGGTTCTATCACACTCTGAAGCACTTTTATAAATGGCCACCTTTTGATTATCCACTGGACACTCCATAAGGACAAGTTTGGATGGACTTTGTTTATGGTCCCAAGAGTGGTTTTATAATATAAAGGACTATTGTTGTACTCTACTCTTTGGTGCTGTTTTGCTTTTTGCTTTTGAATGCAATGATTAGCACTGCACTTCTTTTTACATTGTTCAGTTAGTGTTGCCTGCGAATTGTGTCAGCTACTCCTTGTTCTGATTTTTCCCGTAGCACAGGTGGATATCTGTTATCTTAGTGCACCTAAACAGCAAACATTTAAACCAGCCCTGAGGCAGCTCAGCTTCCCTGCTCCACTGTCCAGGAGTGATTTGTTAGCCTTCCAGTCTTTTAAAGCCTAATGTAAACACAGAGCAAGCATTCTGTAAGAGAAACAGGGTGAACTAAAATGCTAAAACAGGGCAGCTTATTATTATTATTGTACAGGATTTATATAGCGCCAACAGTTTGCTCAGCGCTTTACAATATAAACGGAGACAATACAGAAACAATACAGTTCAATACAAGAGGGTTAGGAGCAGGGGCGGACTGACAACTCATGGGGCCCCCGGGCAATAGGGGATCATGGGGCCCCTGTGTCCTTGCCCAAACTCAAAAAAGCCTATGAAAAAGGTACCAGGGGCACCTCATGGGGCCCCCTACTGACCCCGGGCCCTCGGGCAGTGCCCAAGTTTCCAAATGGTCAGTCCTCCCCTGGTTAGGAGGACCCTGCTCCTTGGAGCTTACAATCTAAGAGGGAGGGGCTAGTGGTATAACAGGTAGTAACTGTAGAGGATGGACTGGTAGGAGGAGTAGAAGATCCCATTATTAGCTGAGGGCAGGATAGGCTTCCCTGAAGAAATAGGTTTTCAGCGATCGCCTAAACGTGAGCAGAGTAGGCAATAGTCTGATAAATTGGGGTAGAGAGTTCCAGAGGATGGGGGAAGGATGAGGTCATGTGAGGAGCAGAGAGTACTTCTGTTGTGAAATTAAAGATTGAATTAGTTCACCGTACCTGTAGATACAGGAGTCACAGAGGGCTTGTTTTAAAGCTCATTACCTGCTCGTTAAGAAGGACCTGCTTACACCTAAAAGTTGGGCTTCACAATAAGCTCATGAAAAATGACACATCCAATAAAAACCAATTACATGATTCTTATAGGTAGAGGATTCTCAGCTTGGTACTCAGGATTATGGTAACAGCAACATCTATTAAACTGTATCTCAAAGTTACCAGATACCTTGATTATTATTTCTATTTATTGTTGTTCAAGTTTCAATAAACATTCTATACTTTTTCAAACTGGAAACATATCCTATAGTGCCAAGTCTTGTTGTCATGGTAGCAGTAAATATTGTTTGATCCTGCTCCAGTGATTACCTTCTGTTGCTTGCATTATACACATTAAAAAGCAGCGTTCAAAACACTTTAGACCACTGGATATGTGGCTAGAAATAGGATACAATGTTGAAAAAAATTAAAAAGGGGATGAAAAAGAAAAAAATATGGTGCTCACTCATTGCACTCACTATACATTGTAACACAATATAACTTGTGACTGCAATGTGTGAGCAACACCAACGAAATGACATAAGACATGAGATGGACAAATGAAATATGTGCGTTGTCCCTTTAAATCCAAGAATAGTATAGAGATGATCCTCCTGCGCTACCTCCCTACCCCAAGTGACCCCCAAAATAAACGTTTCCGCAAACACATAACTATATTCTAAAATAGTGAAAAAACAATTACAAGAGTGACAGGGTGCTGCGCTACTTAATGAATGATAAGTGAAAAAATGAATGACATAAGCTCAATGTAAATATGTCCCTCATCCAACTGTGAACATAACATATAAATACATATAAATGGTGCAAAAAATGCCAAGTGACAGCTGCAGAAAAATGGCTATAAAGTGCTAGTGACA